TGCAGAGAAAGAAAAATACCATATAATTTCACTTATATGTGGAATCTAAAAGAAAATACCAAAAACTCATAGATACAGAGAAAAGATTGTTGGGAGAGGGGAGTGCAAAATAGGTGAAGTGGGTCAAAAGGTACAAACTTCCAGCATGATGACTGCTATAGTTAATAATACTGTAGTGTATATTTGAAAGTTTCTAAGAAAGCAAACCTAAAAAATTCTCATCTTAAGACAAAAATCTGTAACTATGTGTGGTAATGGATGCTAACTAGACTTATTGTGGTGATCATTTCACAATTTGATATACACATATCAAATCATTATGTTGTACACCTGAAACTAATATAATGTTGTAGATCAATTATAGCTCATAAAAATAAATTAAATTTAATCTCCCCTGGAATTCTTACCCTATATTCTCTTTTACTCTGATTTATTTTATTATTTTTAAAAAGATTTTATTTATTTACTTTTATACAGAGAGGAAGGGAGAGAGAAAGAGAGGGAAAGAGCAATTTGTAGTTGCCTTTCATGCGCCCCCTACTGGGGACATAGCCCGCAACTGAGGCATATGCCCTGACTGGGAATTGAACCTGTGGCTCCGGTTCACAGGCCAGCGCTCCATCTACTGAGCCACACCAGCCAGGGTAACTCTGATTTATTCTATTTACTAGTGTTGACAACCATCTGACAAACTATATATTTACTAGTTTATATGTTTATTCTCCCTTTCATTTTCAAGGGACTGCAACCTTTATCGGGGCATGGCTTGCTTGTTTTGTTTACTATAGTATCCCTAGCATCTGTATCTGTGCATAACAGTGCTTTGTATATGGGAAACATTCAGGAAATACTTGCTGAATGAGTAAATATGTGAAAATATAAAACTATTGATTATGTGTTAAGTTTAAAACTTAATATCTTATGAAATTATTTGTTTCTAACATATTTTTCAGTTGTTTTTATTTTAAATAACTGCATCATTTTTTCCAATATTTATACCTTTTATTTTGTTATTATTTCTACTTGCTATATCTAGAATTTTCATGACAACATTAAATATTGGTGATGATTTTTAGAATCCTTGCTTTGTTCTGTACTTTCATAAAAATTCACTTAATGTTGTACCATTAAACAAGATTCTGGTTCAGGTGTGAAACTCAACACAACACAGATACACACAAACATACACATACTCTCCATATAAGGAATAGAGATCCTCCCACTTACTAAAGATTTTATCAAAATTATAGTAGGGTTTTCCTAAATTGTTTATTGGAATTTATTAGCATGGACATGTGTCTTCTCAACTGTGCTGTTAATATGACACATTGTAATAAATAGATTTCTCAATAACGATCACTCTGCGTTCAAGAACCTAGTTTTTCTTCCCATTCATATAGTTTCCTTTTCGTACACTGATGGATTATATCCAGTGTTTTAATAATGTTTCATTAATCTATATATGTAAAACTGATTTCATTTTGTGCAATTTTAGTCAGGTTTGAAATGAAAATTATGCTGGCCTCATAAAAGAGTAAACGTTTTATGTTCTGAAGCAGCTCAAAATTAAATGTTTCTTGACAATGTGAAATAATTAATGGGAGATGATCAAGCCTAACATGCCTATTATATGTTAATAATTATTTAATTATGTGTTATTTTCTTGGAGGAAAGGGCAGATTTAAAACCTTCACAATTTTCTAGGGTTAGTGGCCTATTCTGATTTCTAGTTTCTTCCTGGAAAAAATTTAGTTATTTGTATCTTTTCAGTTGGCCTTTTTGGGGGGTATAAATTCCAATAAATAATTTTTTCAACCAGATCATACATTTACCTGCCTAATTAATCTGTGCCTGTTTGTATTTCTTCTTTCTTGTTTCTAACGCTTCGCATTGTACTTTTGTAATTGGGATGCTGAAGAAAGAAGCATCCTCCAGTGAATATTTCCTTTGTCCTTTGGCAGCCTGGGAAAATTGGCAGAGAACAGCACCTGTGGCATTGAGGCTGGAACTCAAACATGAGCCAGGAGCAGCTGCCAGTGAGGTGATCCTTCACCTCTGTGAGGCTGCTGGCAATGCGGGTGCCAGCAGGCTGTCGGGAATTCTGGACATATCTCAGACCAGCAGGCTAGTAATCCAGAGATCACTGTGAAGCTCTGCTTTGTGGATAAGGTCTGACTTTTTGTTCTCCAAGAAGGTGCCAGAATGTGACCAATGAAAAAAGCTTAGTGGACTGACGCAAGGCCCTAGATAAATGCTTGTGGGGGATATCTGGGAGAAAAACTGTCCTTTGGAACTAGAGACTCCAAAATGATTGTAATTTTAGAATTAAAATTTTGTAGTATTAGCCTGATGAGGTCAAGGTACTCAGGGAAAATAAGCCTCTTCTATTCTGAATCTTTCTCTTTTTTCATTGATTTTAAGATTCTTAGTTGGCTTTCTATTGTGCTTGTCGCTAAAAGGAGAGTTTCCTAGCATTTAATACCACTCACCTTCCCAACATTCTGGGATATACAGCCAATACTTCACTGGGCATGTTTTTCTGATGTCATATAGGTGCCTCAAATTCAGCATGTGCTCAGTTGTGTTGGTCACTTCTCATATGTATCCTCTATGCCTATGTTCCCTATATTCACTTGCTGCCATTATGCATTTACATTCAAGCCAGAGCCTTAGAGTTTACCTAAAGTCTTTGGCTTCCTTCACTCTTCACATGAAATACCAAATACTCTTTATATTTTATTTTTCCCTCATTTTCCCTCTCCACATGTTTACCTCAGGCATGCTAGCTCGGGCTCTCAACTCCTTCTTGAATTTTCTTCACCGACATCTGATGCACTGAATATAAATGAATCCAGGGTGCAATAAACCAGGAAAGCCTGCTAGGTCTACCTAAGTATCTAAGGAATGCAGTTGTTTGTAATCTATCTCCAGATGTGTAAGTCTGTAATATGGTGTTCTCTACCTTTGGCTTGACAGTATTTTTACTGCTTACCCTCATTTCCTCATATTCTTGATCTTGTTTCAGAACCTTCTTGGTACTTTGACTACATATCTAATTAACTCAGCTACAGTGGCTTTGAAAGGAAGTATCAAAATCAAGTGGACACCTCATTGTCAAAGAGCACAGAATTTGATGACACACTGTTGGCAAGGTTGTGGTGAAGCAGGCATGCATTTTTATGGAAGGTTATGTTGGTCGGATCTCTTTAGAGGTTAATTTGGCAATGGTTATTAAATATAAAATTGACCCACCAATTCCATTTCTAGGAATTTATCCTTCAGATATACTTATGCATGTGCACAAAGATGTATGCACCTAAGTAATTACTACAGGATAGTTTACAGTAACAGAAAATGAAACCAAATATACTCATCAAAGGTGTAACGAATAAATAAACGATGTTGCAACCATATTGGGGATTACAATTAAGATGAACTAAGTAGATAGGTATAAGAAACAATGTCTAAGATTTTGTGATAAAAAGGTAGATATGTGCTGCATGTGCTATCATTTGTATACCAATTTTATACACATATACATATATACTTGTATATGCATATACTATAAATAGACATACACATTAATGTACTGCTTGTGATCTATAGGCAGGAAATGAGGGATCCCAAGGTTTCAGACTTTTCACTGTACAACTGTTACAAAGTATGATCGACAAAACAAAGAGCAAGTGGGAAGTCTTGATGGCTCTAGTTTAAAATCTTAAAAATATCTGCATAAAATGGTATATATTGATAATTTCCTCACATGGGAAATAACATACACAAATATATAGTGTATGTGAATAGGTAGTTGTAAGCACATGTGTATTTGTGTAAGTGAAAAAGTTGATTAAATCATCTTAAAACACAAGTTGACACCTATAGCAAGTACATTTAGACATTAATGTGTTCACGATGTTAATCTTTTAACCCATGTTAGTAGCATAAGTTTGCTTTTCAAAAACAAATGTACAAAGCAATGCATGCATAGCTGATGTTTCAACCTCAGTTTCTCCCCTGGAAAATTTTGACTTTGATAAATACATTCGTAGAAGGACAATTAAGAACAAGTAAAATGTATATTTACTCATTTAAAAACTTAAGCATGGCACTTAATTGCTAAAATGCTGAACATGTTTATTTTTTTCTGCAACACATCACAAACTTATTCAAGATAAAAGAATTATTCATGTATACAAAAAAAAATACCTGTCAGCAACAACTACATTGAGTACAACAGCCGGCCTTTCACTGTAAACGGCTGCCTGGATAATGTTACCTGAATTTTAAAGAAATGTTTAGCCTAAGAAGAACCTCCCTGATTGTCCTGCCACATATAGGCCAGTTTTGATTAGCTCTGAAAATCTGTGGCACAAAAGCTACCCATGAAAGCAGGCCATAATATAGCAGCTTGAAATTAAGAATGAGAGCGTGGGGGTATCGATGCTAAACTTCTATCGAATAATTAAAATTGTGATTAATAAGATGAACATTATTGTAAGATTTCTAAACTAAAAGAACATATTTTTTGTCCTAGAATCATATTTTTAAAGTACATTATGCACCAATAATAAACAAACAACAAACACCGAGTTTCCAGCATCCAAATGCAACATCCCCAAGTGGTGGCAATCTAGAACTTGAACTGTGTTTTCTAATCAGAGCAGGGCCATAAACCTGCCCTGTTATATTACGGGTAGTTCTTCAGGCCAGCCCAAAAGATACTTTTTAGCACACACTTTCCTGAAATAACATACACCAGAAATGTGTAATAGACCTGAACATACTGTTGAAATACTGGTAAAAACTAAAGTACTAAATTGTAATGAGAACCATGACTGTACAAGCCCAGAGAAAGAGAATATGTGAATTACTCAAAGAAAGAACACCAAGGATTAGTCAAAATTCTTTGTAAGAGAAGGCAAAAAAGATGGTGGTATGAAGGAAAATGAGAGGGGAGCTAGAAGGAAAATCTGGGCACTTGGAGAACACAGAGGCCATCCTTAGCTCCAGAGGCCTGCGTAGTTCCCGTGGAGGCCTGAAGGGAGAGGCCCCCCAGCCACAAAGAGCTTCATCTCAGGCCAGTTGTAGCAGTGGGTGTAGAGCGCGTTGGGGAACTCGTCCAAGCCACCAAAGTAGTTCACCCACAGGTCATCGTGGTTGAGCCAGCCTCTGCCGCAGGTGAGCCTGAGCTTCCTCCCCGAGGGCCCCAGGGAGGAGTCCCGGCTGGTCGAGGCCCTCTCCTCCAGGAACTTCTGGGCGCGGGTGTCGTAGAAGAGCAGGGAGCCGTGGCCGGTGCCCACGGTGATGATGTGCTGGTAGAAGCTCAGCGAGCGCACGCCAGTGCCTCCCTCTCGGGAGCACAGTGGCCGAATGTTCTGCTGGCGCTGGCGCGGATCCAGAAAGGAGACATGGGACTGGGAGCCTGCCGCGTACAGGGACAGCTCGTCACAGTAGGTCAGGCACACGTTCTCTCGGCAGTAAGGCAGCCTGATAGACAGCAGCCTGGACAGGTTGCTCCGGGCTTTCCACAGGTGAAAGTAGCCATCTAGGGACACTGCTCCCAGCTCCTGGTTCTTGCCACTGAAGGCCAGGGCCCGCACCTTTCGGTTACTGGGGTTGGTGCTGGACCTGGGGATGGTCTCTATGTCCTTCGGACGGATGTGGGCGTACACCGGGAGCCCCGCGTCGTTGTGCCAGGCGATGCTGCCATTGACCATGTCGGGATCCATTCTCCACAGAGCCAACGTGCCGTCGCGGGACCCGCTCACGGCCACTGTGTCACTCATCCAAGCGATAGCGAAGATCCAGTCCCTGTGGCCGTGGCGGTCGCCCAGGCACACGGGGTCCAGGGTGGGCAGCTGGTAGACAGCCAGGCTGTTGGGGTTCTCGCCCCCGGTGGCCAGCAACGTCTTGGACGGATTCAGCTCGATGGCGTGGATGCCGCAGCTGGGCTGGGCCGGAGCCAGCTCGGGTCCCCGATCCCGCATGAGCGGGATGCGCGTGATCTGGCCCGACTGCACGTCCACCACGAAGAGCGTGTTGCACTTGGTGCCGCACACCACATGCCTGGCGTTCAGCCACTGAGACGCGAACACCTTGTTGAGGGTGCCCAGGGCCAGCTCGCGCTCTCGCAGCAGCCCTGGCAGCTTCTGCACCGCGTAGCCGCGCAGCTCACCCTCGAAGCCCGGGAGCCCCGCGCGACCCTGCGCGCTCACCTCGCGGCCCTTCAGGTAGTGCACCAGCGAGCGCCGCGTAGCCGGCCGCTTGTGCCTTTTGGGCTGCAGCGGGCCCCCGCCGTCCGCTGCCAAGCCCTGCGACGACGAGCTCGCGGCGGCCCCCTCGATGGCGGGCTCTTTCCGCTTCCTGCTACCTGTTTGCTGCACGGCCATGGTGGGCGGCTGGCGAGTGGTGGCGGTGACGGCGGCGGCGCGGCGGCGGTGGCGGTGGCGGTGTGAGGCACCCGTGTTGGCCGTGGCGGCGGCGGGGACGGTGGCGCCTCCTAGTCAGCCGGGAGCGCGGGCTCTCTAGGGCCAGGAGTAGGGGGCGATCGAGGGCGCGGAGCCTGTGGAGTCCCGGGAGCGGCGGCGGAGGCGAAGGAGGCGAGGGCAGCAGGCCAGGGAAGAACGCGGATCGGAGAAAGCGGAGAGCGGTGGCGTGGGAGGCGAGGTGGGCTGCGGGGTTCTAGGCGAGGGCGGGAAGTGCGGCCGGCGGCAAGGCTGGAGCGCAGTCGGTGTGGGACGAGGACCACGCGGGAGGCGGTTAAAGAGGGGGCGGAGGCAGCGGGAGGAGCCGGGCGGGGACCGGGGGTGGGGTGCCTGGTAGCACACGCCTGGGTGGGAGGGGTCGGAGGGGGGGCGCTTGACTGGGGGATGGAGACTCACCGGGGCCAACGCTTCAGGATCCCCAGCCGGCTTCATTGGGGACACATCCCCCAGATAACCTACTCTAGGGGTTTCACTACCCTCTGGACAGCAATCAACCATCCATCTTAAAATCCCTACTGAAATATAGTGCAAAGCTTAAATGTGGTCAAGTATGAGGCTAGAAGGAGCCAGGACAATTGTCTGTCGATGAAACAAATGTGTACTTGTTGCAATCCTGGGAGACCCTCGGCTGCAATTAGATAGTGAACTTGATGGGTGATGAGGATGTTTGGTAAAGACAGGGAGATCCTCCCCATTAGGTCTGTCCTGCAGCCCTGTTTGGTTTTGGACATTGACCACCCGTTCATAGTAGTTAAATTGGACAGAAGTGACTAAAAAAAAAAAAGTATTTGGATCAGGCAGGCACATAAAGGAAGACATGAATGAGGTTATGCCTACAAAGTTCATTGATTTTCCAAATACAAATTTTATAGATTGGAACAGAATTTCAGGTATAAAGGCACCTGTCTTCAGAAATGGGATTACATAATCATTTTTGATATATTGTATATAGATGTAAAGCAAGAATGTCCTTAAAATATTTTGACATCTTGTCTACATTTGTATATATTGCCCTTGCATTATCTTTATTATATCCCAAGTTTGTAATATCTTAACTGGATGGAGATACCCAGTTATTGTTTCCCCTAACTTACATAATGACTTATAACTAGTTTTAACTACACCATAAATTCCAATGTCTCCTAATTGTTTTAAACTCCATCCTAAATCCCCATGTCCAACTTCCTACTTGACATTTTGCATATCAAAATAGAACTTCAAATTCAACATGTATAAACTCAAGATTTTGATTTCAACTCTTAGGCACAATCATTTATTGTTTCCTATCTTAATGAATAGCACCTGCATCCGTTGATCTTTGTAAACCAGAGTCCTCTGAATGATTCTTGACCCTTGACACATAATGCTTCCTTATTTTCTGGTTCAATATCCATCTTCTAAGATCTTTCAAATCCATTCAGTTCTCACCATGTCCACTGTTACCACTCTTTTCTATGCCACTGCTATGCCTTGACAACTACAATAGCCTTGTAACTAATTTTCCTGTAACTATTCTTGCCCTCCTTCATTCAGTTCACCACACTGCAGCCAGTAATGTTTTCAAAATGCAAATATTGCCATGCCACTGCAATGACTTAAAGTAACCTGTATTTTCCTATTGTCTTGTGATAAAGACCAAAACCCTTAACGCAGCCTACAAGGCCCTGAATGACATGACCAACATTCTCCAGCACATTTCTACCTTCTTATTACTTGTTTTGCTCTGTACCAGCTGGTTCTTTTTAATTTCCTCAATAATATTAAATAACATCATGCCTCAGATCCTTTTTTTACATGCTGTTCTCTCTGAGTGGAATGCTTTGTACTTCTGGGTCTTCGTATCTTTTAACCGCCCCCCCCCACACTGATTCTTTACCTTATTAACTCCTTATCATTCAGATTTTAGGTGAAGTGTCACTTTCTTAGGGAAACCCTCCTTGACCCCCTGAATAAGTCAGATCTATTCTACATGGAGATCCCCTTAACTGTATTTCATGGCACTTACCACAAAGTGAAATGCATGGTTATTTCTGTGACTGCTTCATGTCTATATCTAGTAAAGGATTGAACAAAAACTCCTTGGGGGAAGAGCCAATATCCGCTGTGCTCTCTACTGTATCTCCAGTATCTAGCATGCCATAGAAATACTCAGTAGTTGTTGAATAATGCTGACTGAAATTTTAGAGATCCCAAATATCTGTTTAACTGGTACATCAGAACCCAATCCTTTACACTATTTGATCAGCTACCTCTAACTTAATAGATCTTAGAGGGAAGACCCTTCATTATCTGACATTTTAGGGTCTTTCAAATTGTTTACTTTTAGGTTCCTCCAGTTGTAACGTTCTCTGGATCTATTTAAACTATAATCCACTCTATCTTTCCCAAAAGGTTAAACCTCCATCCCTGCAAAATTCTGGATCAGATTATGTGATAGACAGCCCTAAAAAGCTTTATACAATTAGACTGAAAGTAGAATACTCTACCTTCAAACATTACTGTGTTGTCTTTCAGCTGTAGAGACAACTGCTCGAAATGCCAGAAGGTTGTTTCCAGGTGTGGTCGATCATCATAACTCCAAGAATCAACCTTGACAGGGTGATAGAAGTTTCAAGTAGAACCTCAGCATTACTGACCTTAAATGGGCATTTCGATACCATGTAATAATCACAGGAGATTGCTATGGTCCTCTGAAAGATCACTATTTCAAGCGGTATCAAAGAGGGCTGTGTCTTAGCTGTTATTGCCTTAACATACAACTTAATGTTTTAATATCACTTGTAGACATATCCAATCTCCCAGTGCGGATGCTGTGTACAAAAAGTTTAGTGTCTATGTATACCTAGCTATGTAGCATGGTTTTACTGTCAAGAACTAGAGTAGCCTCATTGACAAATCACTACTAAGAATGTATCAACATGAAGGTAAAATCCTAAACCATTGTTTTTGGCACTAATCTTTCCAAATTCAGCTAGCCAGTTCAAAATGGCTTCTAGCAGCACAGAACACATTTTGTTACATTCATGGAGTGGGGAATCTTTTGAAACCAATGTATCATAGTAAAACAGTGGGAAAATTTTGCTCTATCAAATTTCACGTTTTCCTCCTTCATGAAAAGTGCCTATAAACTATCGTTTTCATCATTTTTCTAGGTCACTGCATTTATGTCATGCTTTGTTAGAACTTAGGTGTCTGAAGGGAGCACTTGTCCAGATACACCAGAATCGGTCTAAAGATGCATCCCAAACAAAGTCTGGTTTTGCCTGATAGCATCCCCACATATTACCTCTGTGAGAAAGTAGGGTGCCCTGTGATTGGATGCAAGTACTGGTCAAGCTTCTCAGTTTTCTTAAGATGGCAACCTTATCACATTAAATTAGCATAGTAGTTGGCAACATGGCCCTTTTAAAGAATGATATGGCTTAGGCAACTTACTTGACCTTTCATTGCCTCTGAAAAATAAACTTTTTAAATCCTTATAATTGTGTACAAACACATGCTTAGTAAATGATAGCTATTATTAATATCTGGATTTTCTAGACTATGAATTTGCATATAACGAGCACTATATACTACCGCCCCTTCAGACATCATCAGAGAATATAAACTCAATGCATCTTATCCATGCGGATTGCCCACCATCCCCTTGACTTCCTGGGAAAGTTTTACTCATCCCTCACGTTTCTTCTCAAATTTTACCTTCACTATGATAACTTTTTTGACTCTTCCAGAGAGGTATAAGGGGGCCTTCTTTTGTACAATATAAACATTCTTCCACTATAGTATTTAACTTATTTCATTGTAGTCATTGGCTTGCCTAATTTGAAAATAACTGCAAGCCCTTTTGAAGTAGAAACATTTTTAAAAATATGTTTGGATTCCTCATATTCTTGCACAGTGCCTGCCATATAGATGGCTTATGCACATTTGCTAAGTGAATGAACAAATGAATTGAGCTACTATCTAAACTCTTGCTAATAAAATATAATAGTTAACATTCTGAAACCTGATTCATGTACTTTCAATTTTATTTTTGAATCACCTTATGCCACCAGAAGACTGTATCATAAGATCATATTAGCTTAGTATTTGCTGAATCAGTTTCACTAACTTGCACTTTAATGTTATGCTTTAGACAGTTATCAAAGATCATTAAAAATAGCCAAACAGCTATATTGGTATCCCTTCTGCATTTATTGTAAAACTATTATGAAGGTCACTGTTCATCATATTGCTCAATGTCTCCTTTACACAATGTCATACAGAAAATTAACTTTATAATCTAACACCAAAAAGTCTTTATCTCTGTGGAATTACTATATGTTATCCCTTCTGACCCTGAGAACTATTTAAGAGTACTCGCTACAAAGTCTGAGAGTCCTTGATTTGAATCTTGACTTCACTTAGGATTGTAGTTTTGTGACACTGGGCAAGACAGTTTTTCCAACCTCAGTAACTTCATCTGTAAAATGAAGATACTAATACCTAATTATTATGATTGTTGTGAAGATAAATGTAATGTCAAGGCACCTAGCAAATATCTATATTTTATTTATATATATATATGTGTGTGTGTGTGTGTGTGTGTGTGTGTGTGTGTGCGCGTGCGCGTATAGTATATGGTAAAAACTAATTTCCTTTTCTTCCCCTTGGCTGCTAGGAAGCACAAAGACAAATACAATACTTAGTCATGGCAACTATATCAACTTTTCTCCTTTTTTTCATTCTTGATCCTGATGTAGGCTTTTTTAAAAATTGTATTCTTAAAATATTACTTCAATTATGGAAAGAAGGCATATAAAATATATAAATAGATTATTGCCTGTGACCTCACAGCCTAAGTGTCCATCAACAAATGAGTGGATTAAAAAACCATGGTACATTTATACAATGGAATACTATGC